AAGAAAAGCGTTCATTTAAACCAGACGGTTGTAGGGTCCCCAGATTGTAGATTAATCTCCAAGAAAAGCGTTCATTTAAACCAGACGGTTGTAGGGTCCCCAGATTGTAAATTAATCTCCAAGAAAAGCGTTCATTTAAACCAGATGGTTGTAGGGTCCCCAGATTGTAGATTAGTCTCCAAGAAAAGCGTTCATTTAAACCAGACGGTTGTAGGGCCCCCAGATTGTAGATTGAACTCTAAGAAAAGCGTTCATTTAAACCAGATGGTTGTAGGGTCTCCAGATTGTAGATTGATCTCCAAGAAAAGCGTTCATTTAAACCAGATGGTTGTAGGGTTTCCAGATTGTAGATTAATCTCCAAGAAAAAGCGTTCATTTAAACCAGATGGTTGTAGGGTCTCCAGATTGTAGATTAATCCCCAAGAAAATCGTTCATTTAAACCAGATGGTTGTTGGGTCTCCAGATTGTAGATTAATCTCCAAGAAAATCGTTCATTTAAACCAGATGGTTGTTGGGTCCCCAGATTGTAGATTAATCTCCTTTCCAGTCGTTCTATTTTTTGAATGTCTGTTGGAGCACTAATAAGTCCCGGAATCGAAAAGTCCTCAGCTGAATGATTGTTGATGGTGAAATGTTTGCCTACAGGTGTATTCTGGTTCTGCAGTTTAATATGGTTTAGATGTTCTCGTGCTCGATCACCGAGTCGGCGGCCTGTTTGTCCGATGTCGAAAGTTGTGTTTTTTTCCTTGGATATGTGTAGTGCTGTTTATATGTGGGCAGGTTTCATTTACATGTGTGAGTGCCTAGAGTATCATCTTGTTTAAAGTTTCTGTGCACCAGGATTTCTTTGGGAATTTTGTCATATCTGTAAGAAATAATACGGGGGGGGGGGGTCTTGAAAAGAGATTTAGTGGTAGGGTCTTCAGTAAGTATTGTGTTATTGTTTAATATAGTATCTTTGATCTTCTTTATGGTCTGTAGTATGTTAACACAAGTTGAATACGACCGGTGTGTTCTTTCTTGGTAGGGTTGAGTGTTTGATCCTGGGTATACGGGCTAACTTTGGTGGCTGCATCGTGGATGAAAGATTCAGTGTGGAGTGTTTTAAAAAAAAAACTAAGTTTTCATGTCTTTGGGTTTTGATTTATAATCGTTTTCATCACTACATGGTTTGCGTAGTCGTATAAATTGTGAGTATGGTATTGATTTTTTTTTGTTACTGTACGGGTGGGAAGGTTCGAAATGTAGGTAC